TGGTGGCCACGGCGGGATAGTCAAGACACAGATCGGTTGACAGGGGAAGCCTTTGTCAATCACTCCTGTAAACCTTGTTTCACGAAGCATAAGGGAGCGGTCAACAAAGGCTTCCCCTGTCAACCGATCCGCATCTTGACTCACGCGCTGTGCCGACAATCAGCTGAGCCGGCACAGTGCGGCGGCCATTTTTATTTTAATGAAGCCGGGGATATTTAAATCTCCGCTTCATTGACTATGTTGGGTAGCCTATTTTACATGCCTCTGCCGACAGAGGCAGGTAGTCTAGACATACTCTGAATTATTCCAGATCTGTCGATTGCCTGAGTCACCATCCTCACATGTGAGCTGTGTTACTTGCCGATCTCATGTTCCCTGATGAGATGAGATCCGCTTTTCGGCTGAGGTTTTCAGTGCGACTCTTGAATCAGAAAATTCGGTGTCAGAGAATCTCTCTGCAGTCTACTCTTTCCTGTCTGCACTAGCTACATAGAATACTTGCCCAATGCTATGTGACTGCAAATGATTTTTACAACAAAAAAGCAAATGTTGCTCGTCTCATGATCAAATCCCACGAGTTGGTGTGATGGTGCGGCATGGCCCCGCACTGCAGCTAAAAGAGTTCACCTGGCCTCGGTGGAGGGGCGGACCCCACCCCTGCAGACTTGCTGGGCATGCACACGAGTGAGCCCTAGGATAAAAGCCAGGGGAAGCAGGCAGTCTGGGGAGGTAGTTGAAGGGGTAGAGGTGCAGGGGAGAGATCCTGAGCTGTCCCAGCTGTCCCTGGAGCCAGACCTGACATCCCCGCTACCGCTGGAGCAAGGCCTGCTGATCCAGCTGCTCAGGAGCTGCAAGCCGATGCACAGACCCCAGGACATCGCCTCAGCCAGGGGAGAAGGGTAGGAAGCAGCGCAGGGCAGAGGAAAGAACTCCGGAAGGTCGGCGTGTTCCAGCAGGCATCCCCGCCATCCAGGCAGTGGATACTGACACTGCCAATAGGGCCCTGGGCTGGGACCCAGAGGAGCGGGAGGGCCTGGGTCCCCCTACTTCCTCCAAAGCCCCTGTAATCTAGCCTCCAGGTTGGTGGAAAAGGCTCAACTGTATGGACTAGGCTGGAGGGCCATATTCCCCCTGATAAAGGGGCACTGGTTTCTATGGACTAAGCTGGAGGGCCGTATTTCCCCTGATAAAGGGACACTGGACTCTATGGACTAGGCCAGAGGGCCGTATTTCCCCTGATAAAGGGGCACTGGACTCAATGGACTAGGCTGGAGGGCCGTATTTCCCCTGATAAAGAGGCACTTGACTTTGAGGGCCAGGCCCAAGGGATTATGTGTTCCCAGGAAGAAGGCGTGTTCACTGTGGGAACAGGGCCTGCCCCCTCACAGTCAGCAAGACTGGTTTATGTGCAAACAACATGGAATAGATTTAGGGCCAGATCTTCAGCTGGCGGAAAGAAGCCAGCGTTCACCCATTTACGCCAGCTAAGGATATGGGCACAGATCCATGGAAATATTTAGGCTCCTAACGTCAGAATTCAGTACAATTCCCTGGGGATCTGGACGTGGGTCCTTAGCTTTGTAGTTACTTTCTTTGCTAAATAGGACTGTCTTCTTTTTTTGTCCTAGAATTTGATATTGCCACTCTCCCCCTGTTACTGTAGAATTGGAGCAGATCTCAAAGGGGGATCTGGGTAAACCTACTTTTGAAGCTAATATGAAAGACCTGTAAATAAAAATAACCTCAGAAGAACACAGACATTTTGTATGCAGCTTTCTATGCCTTAGGCAGTTTCAGCTGAAAGCGAGAGAGAACAGTTCATGTAAAGGAACCACACACTGAAAAGTAATACATCAGTCACTGGAATGGGAGCCAACCCCCCAAGATAATAGAAACGTTCCCGTTACTTACAGTTCGGTTGTGGTTCTGGAGGGAATTTGATTCGGACAATAGCCAGGATTATAAAAACAACCAACGGCCAGGAAATTAAAGTGAGCGACCAAAGCTATAAAACAGTAATAAAGGTAAACTTATTATACTGGTGAGCGGCAGAACTTGGTCAGACAGTACAAGTATGACAGTATATGTATCATAAACAGTATGCAGTAAATAGGCATTGGCTTGTTTTGAGAGGCAGTGTTGCCTAGTGGTTAGTACATGATCGTTTTGGGGGGGAGGAAGGGTTCTATTCCCCTCTCTGCTGTGGCATGAGTTTAGACAGACCCCTTGGCTGCTCTGAGCTTCCCCGTTCAGAAAGAGATGACGACTGTGACCTCCTTTGTAGAGCACATGGATATATACTGATGATAAAAGTTGGGTATTACAGGTTGAACCTCCCTAGTTCGGCACCCTCAGCACCTGACCGGTGCCAAATTGGAGAATTTGCCGGACCATAGGAGGTCAATATCATTTAGCAGCATTACCAACACTTCCACTGCTCACTGGGCTCTTAGGGTATGTCTACACTAGCCCCCTAGTTCGAACTAGGGTGGCTAATGTAGGCATTCGAACTTGCAAATGAAGCACGCGATTTAAATATCCCCGGCTTCATTTGCATGTTCCCGGGCGGGCGCCATTTTTAAATCCCCTTAGTTCGAACTGACTGCCCGCGGCTACACGCGGCAGTCAGAAGTTAATCTGAACGAAGTTCTTAGTTCGGATTAACTGTTACACCTCATTGCAGGAGTTCGAACTAGGGGGTTAGTGTAGACATACCCTTAGAAGACATGGAGGGGTAAATAAGAGCTATGAGCACAGAACACTAAGAGCCAGGGCTGTAAACAAACTTTATGGGATGGTGGGAAACTTGGCCACACCCATGATAAGTGGACATCCAGCTACCTAAAATCATGCCGGACCATGGAGGTTGCCAGACCACAGAGGCCTGGATTAGAGAGGTTCAGCCTGTACTATTATATGTACACTATTTAAAACCAGACAGGATTTATATATAAAGATAGTAAAATTGCAAAATGGCCTTATGGTGAGTCTCTTGGGAACACCAACACACGGGAAGGTGCATCTCTTAGAGGGGGAGAGGGCGATACACACTGAGATAGTGCTAGATAACAGTAATGGATGCATCTTAAGGAGTGTACAAGTTCAAGATGGCAGTTCTTACTCCAGAAATCCGACTGAGAGGGTTGTTACTGTCAGTTTTTACTCAAAGCTGCCCCATTTTGAAGATTTTTTTCAACAATATTCACAATGTTGTTCTTTTTTGAAATGGCATGATCCAAGCCATTTACCAAAAGGTGAGGAAACGCCCCCTTTACCGAAGTCTCAGATTTAGGCCTGTTGTGTAGGAGCCTGATTCATCTCCGAGACGCACCACCAGAAAGAGGAGGGCTCAGAGGATTTCCAGCGAGGCCAAGGGGGATGAGGTGAACTTACGTCCGTGGAACTGATAGCGGAGCTCATTTCTGGGACTGCAACAGAGAGCTTTGCATCCTCTAACAACTCCACTACAACCAGACACCGGAAAAGGCTTCTTTTTATGCATTTGCACACTGTCAGCATTCAGCGCCATTTTAGCTTTTACGGGCAACTGATTTGCACACCTTTCGATCACTGTGAGATTTAGCACACCAATATGTTCTATTCTTAATATTACCCACTTTCTCCCCTTCCCCATAAAATCTCTGAGGCATGTTTTAAAATTAAGAATGCTTTGTGCATGTACACACACACACACATAGGCTACGTCTATACTGGCATGATTTTCCGGAAATGCTTTTAATGGAAAACGTTTTCCGTTAAAAGTATTTCCGGAAAAGCGTGTCTATATTTAAATCGCGGCTTCATTTCCCTCTGCTGATCAGCCTAATCTACATGGCTCCATCGACGGAGCCATGTAGTTTAGACACACCCATAGACACAACTGCTTATAATGAGCACAGGAAAATCTGCAGGGCTGCCAGGTGCATCATGGGAGGAAATGCAGTCTGAGTTTCCCTCCATAGACAAGTCCTTGTTCCGTACAGTTTGGAGCCAAAATGGCCCCATGGTAACCGTCCTCCAGAGAAGTCTCCCCTTAGCAGCACTGTCTCTTGACAGAATTCAGTTTCCCTGCAGACATGAATACTAATTGTGACAGTATCATCTTGGATGGTTTCTGGACATTCCTGGCTAACAGGAATTCAGCAAGCGCCTCATGTCAGATTCACATCTGGTGTACAGCCCTTGACTTAGTTCACAGAACTATTATTAAGCCCTGTGCTATGTGACAGAATTAATGTAACTCTTTTAGTTGGTGGACTAACTCACTAGGCAAAGGGCGTATTAATTGTCTTGGCTTCAGTTTATCTCAGCATCCCAACTGCTATCTTTCATTCATGTGTCTTGTGGAGGAAGGTACAAGGCACCCTCAGGACAAGGTTTCTGTATTATAGCCCCAACCAATGTTCCATATAAACTTTTCCATCCATCGGTAGAATTTTTCCCATCTATGTGTGGAATAATTTTTTCTGTGCACCGAGGCAGATATGCATGTGCACCACCAGGAGAAACAAAAAGCCTATCTGCGGTGCTCTGCTAATCAGGGAACAGTGGCCCTGACCACCACAAAGCAATCTGGAGCCTCTGGTGTTTGAGGTAGTCCCTGCCGGCTGAATGCGGTGAAGACTCTGCAAAAGGAAACTGACAGAGATTCCCATTCCCTTAGGGGGACTATATGGGCCCAGACTCACATCCTAGCTGACTTCATGAAGCTATAGTAATTGACATCAGCTCAAGAGCGGGCCCCCTTTACCTATGGAGGTGTAGCCTAGATAGAGGACCACGCCTAGAAAAAAATCATCACAATGTAAGAGAAAGCAGAGACAGAAGTGACTACATGTCTGTCTCCCCAACAAAATCTGGTCCAGTAAAAGGCATTGCATAACCCACCTCCTCTCTCTACAAGTCACGAGACAGCGTTCCAGTCATCTTCTGGGAGAAAAGCCAAGGCTGCATATTGCATACACCCCACACCAGGAAAGTGCAAACTGCTTAATAACACTGACTGCAGTAAGACGTGCCCTCCAAAGTAAAAAGTAAAAGGGCAGGGGGTTACAGAATCAGCCTTCCTAGCCACAAACTGTTAATAAATAAAATGTAGAGTGGAAATATAAAAACAACAGATGCTAAATACTCTAAATATACCCATATTCTAGGCCTGTTTCTTCTCTCACTCCACTGGGGAAGGCAATGGAGTCACAGGGATATAAAGCTGTACCTCCAGAGCTACTTTTTTTTTTTAAGGAGAAAGTGTCACTTTTTGGGGAAAAAAAATCCTGTGTTAATTTTTTTAAAATTAGCTCTAGGGGAGCAGGTGAGTTGGGGGCGTGGGGAGAGAAAGAAGGGTGGGAGTCCTTAAAAAAAATAAAAAATCCTCGCCATTTGTCCTGATGTTTGTTTGAAAACTCCATCAACACTTCCAAACTTTCAAGCTGCTCGACTTGTAACGGAGAGGCACTCTAAGCCCACGAGGGCAGCATGGTTGTAACAACGAGGGCAGGAATTAGTGATAACCACACTGGCAATACAAGAGGTCCTGAGGGAACCCCATTATTGAATAGGCACGTGAGAAATCATTCCTTGCTAATCCGCCTTAGGTTCTCCAAGATCATGGAGACCTCTCCAAGGGGTGCCCATTCCTCCATGCTGGAGGTCTGCTCTTCAGGGGCCCAATGCTGAGAGGTAGGGAGATGTCAGTGGGCCCCTGAAGAGCAGAATCAGGCCCCAACACAGGATCAGACCTTCCAGCGGATTGACAATGGGCGTGAGAGGCGGGAGATTACAGAGGTCGAGGGGGGCTAATGACTCCCTGGCCTTTGCCAAAGGGTAAATGAGGGGAGATGGGATTTACCTCCTTCTCATTTGGGAAACGCGAAGTTTAGGTTCTGTCAGCTCCCCCTTTACGTTTTTACCTCTCCCCCACCTTTGCCTATTACTCGTCTTCCTATGACCCTCCTTCCACCTGGGAATCTTGGTCCAGTCAACTTTGAAGAAACCGGATTCCCTCGGCAGTCGCTAATATTCTGCCGCATATAAGCAATTGGCGTTTGTACCCAGTCCAGGGGGAGGGGGATGGAGAGGGGAGGTGCTAGCCTCCCCCGGCCACACAGCAACACAGTGCCGTGTCTGCGCTCCTGGGGGCACTGCCTGCCCTCTGCTGGAATTCATCCCCCACTCAGAACGCTGGAGGAGCGCCGTGTTCGCCGTGGGAACGGGCTGGGCCATGCCACATGGCACAGATCCCCCTCCAAGGCCTTTATTTCCCCCCATCCATCTTCCGCATCTGGCACTGGGCTGGTGGATAAGGCTGGGTACGGGCATTGTGGTCTGCCTGCCAGGCGCTAACAGAATCAGGTCCTTAGTTTAGACAATGACCATCCCAGCTATGGCCCCGTTCCTGCATTGAGGTCCATGGGCCCCTGTAGAACCCCACTGGCTCCTAGGGAACTCCACTGCGGTGCCCAAAGTCCATCCAGCTGGAACCCAATGCAGGATCAGGATCTTTGAGTTTAGCTGACGCAGCGTTTTCACTTCCAGCCTCTCCTCCTCTCTCTGCACCTGTCAGTGGCTGCCACTCAACGCCCCTTCCCTCCGTCCCATTGCTTCACTCTCTCCCCTCACCTCTCCAGCAGCTGAAAATTTTCAGCCCCACCCCCCCCCCCCCCCCGTTCCCCTTTTCAGCTTCATTTTCATACTCACTGGTTGCCTCCTGACGCTCAGCCAGTTTTTCCACAGCAGGATCCGCAAGTGCCGAAAGAGTGAAGCCATCCTGGGAAAAGCCCGAGCAAAAGCAGACGAACCACTTCCTCTCTCCCCTCCACCTCAAAGCAAACCAATTTACACTCTGGCCCAACCAGATGGGCTGCAGCCAGCAGGAGTACCGATTCCCCCTCCCCACAGCATAGCTTTGGAGCAGCCCCTCGGATCCCCTGTTGTCCCAGGAAATCTAGCTCCCTTCTCCACGGCAATCGCTCCTAGCCAATTCAACAGGTTATTCTTCTCAAGGTGAGGAGGCAGATGCAGTGGTAGCCTGTAGTGGCTTGTGTTAATGATAATATCTAGTCTTTCTCCACTGTGCTTTGTTCAATCCCTGAGTGAGGAAAGGGGTGGCATTCTAAGATGCTTCTGCTGAAGTTGCTACACGCCTCGATGAATCCACCTCTCAGCCCACACATAGCACCTGAGGAAGAGGTGTCATAAAAAACTCTCCGGTAGGCTGCTTGCCAAGCCTGTAGGACCAGTCATATTTATCTGCCTTCTCTTAACACAAACACACACGAGGATTGGGAGTCAAAACCAGCAGCAGGTGCATTCTCAGCTGAGCTCAAGCCACATTAGGGCCACGTCTAGACTGGCATGATTTTCCGCAAATGCTTTTCACGGAAAAGTTTTTCTGTTAAAAGCATTTGCAGAAAAGAGCATCTAGATTGGCACGGACGCTTTTCCACAAAAGCACTTTTTGCGGAAAAGCGTCCGTGCCAATCTAGATGAGGTTTTGCGCAAGAAAGCCCTGATCGCCATTTTTGCCATCGGGGCTTTTTTGCGCAAAACAATACCACGTTGTCCACACTGGCCCTCTTGCACAAAAGCATTTGCGCAAAAGGGCTTTTGCCCGAACGGGAGCAGCATAGCATTTCCGCAAGAAGCCTTTTGCGCAAAATCAAGCGGCCACTGTAGACATCTGGCAAGTTTTTGCGCAAAAGCATGTGCTTTTGTGGAAAAACTGCCAGTCTAGACGCAGCCCAGCAGTGTAGACTTGGACGTTCTCTATTAAGCCTAAGGTTAAGGGAAATTAGCAAAAGAATGTTAAGGATGGAAAAATACATTTACTGCATATAAATTCAACCACCATGGACTGGTCCAATGCCCCAAATTTCTAACTTGGATTTCCTTCCTGTAGGGTCAATCATGCAATCTTCACTCAGGCGAAATTCTCACTGAACTCCATATGACAGATATAATTTAACAGAAATTTTGCCGCAGAACTGAGCCTTTTGTGAGGTTCATTCAGATCACTGCTGTTACTGAGACGTCATTTTTAGTTGATAAATTTTCATGCTAGTAGCTTGCTAACTAGGAAAATTAAACAAGATAGATTGAAAAGTAAAAATAGATGAGAACATCATTACTCAGACAGCACATCTGGAATGTATGAACAAGGGGGCTGCTGATTAACTGCAGTTAACTCATGAGAGTAACTAAAAAAATTAATAGTGGTTTTAAAATTATAAGCAATCACACTGTTAATAAAATATCTGATAAAATTCACTAAATATTGTGATCTTTTTCTATATTTGAAAATGTTTCATTTACAACACTGAATATAAAGTGTGCACTACTCACATTATATTTATTACAAATATTTGCACTGTAAAAATGACCAAAAGGAATATTTTTCAGGTCACCTCATTCGTGGATTGTGGTGCCATCTCTTTACCAGGAAAGGGCAAATGACAAATCTAGAATTTGTTTGTTATATAACTGCATTCAAAACCAAAACTGTACAATGTATGAGCCTACAAGTCCACTCAGTCCTACTTCTTGTCCAGCCAATCATGAAGAAATTTTTTTAGTTTATTTAATATTAATAAACTTTGTTTTTTTAATTTTAATTAATAAACTTTGGTTTATAATTATTGGTGATCGTGATGCCGCTTCTTATTAGTAACCTGAAAGAGGGGACAGCTATTCGCATAGTACTTTTGTAACCAGTGTCGCGAGGTATTTTTAAATTGTGCAATTAATCATGATTCATTTTGATTTGCTTGACAGCCCTAATGAACTATGAATTTTGAAATCCATATGAAGGTCATTACATGATGAGCTAATCCAATAATTCACCAGCTCAGGCAGGAGGAATGAACTGAGCACCTTAGATTCCATGTAGAAGCTGCACCCTACAAAAAAGAGACAAAATCACCAGGTAGGTGAAAGAGGCTTGCTTGAGAGGCCCTCCCTCTCCTCCCTCTGCTCCCTTCCCTGATAATGGTAAAGTTGAGCTTATTCTCCAATTCTAACTAACTTTGCTACCGCTCAGTCCAACAGTCAGGAGTGGTAGAAATTGAATGGTAGATTAGACTGGATTTGGCTCTAGGAGTGGGCTATTGCCTTGCCAGGGGAGAAATGAGTTGACACAGGAAGATACTTAATCCTAATCTGTGTTGTTTTAAATTGGGTATACTTCTGATGATGGATCTGAAATATACCACCTTATAAAATCATCCCTTCCACTGCAGCTGGCCAGAAATCCAAAAAGCAATTCCACATCAGCTTCCAGCGAGATGGTTTGCACATCTATAAGAGTCTGTTGGTTTCCCTAACCTCCTCCCCTCCCCTGAACACACACACACACATTCAATTCAATTCCAGTCTTGGTGCCAATCAAAACTAACCTCCAGGCTGGGGCTAATCTGGGAGGAAAAACAATTTGCAGCTCAAGGACTCAGACAAGTCTTTCTACCCCACAAAGGACTCCTCTTCTGAGATAATGAGTACTACAGACTCCACATCAGGTGAGACAAGGCAGTAACAATTGTCTAACTTCCTGCTTTTACTGCCTTTAAGCATGGAGGGCTCTCACAGGGCAGCGGAACACTGAATTAATCAAAGCTTTGGACACGGTTACACTGTGGCTAATTAGTAGTAGTACTAACATCTGCAATTCACACTCCAAGAGAACCCTCTAATACAGCTGGCTGCACCAGGCATAAGAGATCTGTCGCCAAAGGCTTTAGTGAGCGATAGAACCGTGGCTAGACTGCCACTTTTCGTCACCAAAGCTCCGTGGTGACAAAAAGCGGTGGCCATTTTTATGCTAATGAAGCATGGGAGATTTAAATCCCCGCTTCATTAGCAATTTCAGTAAGTCTAATTTACATCCCTCTGTCGCCAGAGGGATGTAGTCTAGACATACCCTAAATGTAAAGTGATTACTTTTCAGTGGCTTAGCACTCACCATGTATTGTGTTTACACTTAACAGCATTTTCGAACCAGCCAGCAGGGACGGCAGAACCCCCAGCCTTCGTGTTCAGGCGACAATCCGGTTTGGAGGAGAGCACCTGCTCTTGAAACCTGCTTTCTTCTGAACATTTTTTGATAAACAATTATTTTGGACTGGATGAAACATTTCAACCCTCCACAGGAAGACTCTAACCCAGAAAGTTTTCAGTCAAAAACTGAAACAATAAAATAAAATGTTGGTCCGTTTTTTTATATTTTTATCCCCTCAACATTTTGGGCTTTTTTTTTGGTCCAGATTTGGGTTATTGTTTTTTCTTTCAAAAAACAAAACAACAACAATAACAACAAAACCCTTCATCTTCCCTAGGAGATAAAAAACATTTTCCAACCAGCTCCATGGATTATAAACCCACTAGGATTACTAGGTTCCAGGAGTCTATTCCTGGCTCTGTCTCAAACTTCCCATCTGACCTGAGGTAAGTAATTTACTCTGTCTGTGCCTCTGTTTCCCCATTTATAAATCGGGACTAGAAATTCCTATGTCTGAGTCCTGTGTCAATTAATGTTTGTGGGGAGAGTTGAGGTGCTGAGGAGGAAGATGCTAGGTAAGTGCTAAGTACTATTCTGCCTCTCCGTCCAGGGCTGAATCAGCTCTCTCTGTCTGTTTCTTGGCCCAGCTAGGCCACATCCCCTGTCCTGAAATGTCACCAGATCACCAGGCCATCCTTGAGATCCTGTCTATAGTGTTGTATTTCTCTGTTGTTCTGGGTTGCACAAACCGTAATCTTTATTACAGTTTGCGCATGATACACCCTCACTGCGGGGAGTAAAACCCAGCTGTCGGCATGTCTAGAAATAGCCCGACTGCCCTTGCTCAGTGTCCAAACACATCAGCAGCTCCCTGTCATTTTCATTGCCCTTTAAGGAAAGCGGTAGGTGGGCTGATAGTCTGACCCATACAGTGCCGCAGTAGTTAACCGTGTAACTGACATTTTTTTTTGGCTACACGATTACACGCTTCCTAACATCCCTAGTGTGTGCATCAGTGATGTGAAGAGACGAGACTTTTTTAAATGCTCTCTGGCCTATTTTCCTTGATTCCGATGCAGCAAGTTATCACTGCTACAGCTCTCTGAGACCCTTTGCAGCACCTGGAATAGGGATGGCCAACCCATTCTGGGCAAAGAGCCAAGATATCAGTGGATCTAGCGTGAACAGCCAGGGCAAAGTTGTCGAGAAAGAATGTCCGTCCCTTTTGCCCCTTTAAAAGGAGCCCCAGTCGCGTTTGGTCGGGAGGGGGGAAAAAAAGCTCTGCCCCTTTAAGAAAATGCGTTTAGAGGCTTTTTGGCCACATCAGGCTCCCGCTGGCCGACACCATCTTTAATGGCCCAGGTCAGCACAGGGAGCCGGGAGCAGAGGGCTGTTTTGGGGGATACAGGGGCAGCTTTACGAGCCACGGAAGAAAGGGGAGGGAAGATCCATCTGCAGCTCCTGAGCCGCGGTTTGGCCATGGCTGCCCTGGAAGGACTTTGCCCAGACCGAGCATTTCTAAGAGCCAGCGTGGTATGGAATTAAAACATCCAGCAGCAGGAAGGAGGAAATGGCATGGGAAGCAAGGAGAAAACTCCTACGTCACAAATATAGACATGTGCATAGCAACACCAAAGAGGCCAACCTGGGCGATTCAAAAATTAAGCACAAACATCATTACATGGCTGAATTAGGACCATAAATTTTACAAAACTGTGAGACTGATGTGTGCACTAACCCTGCTGGGACCATTAGCAGGAAACAGACAGAACAGTCCGGCACATGCAAAGGCTTCAGCCAGCAGACACAGGAACTACCCCGTACCTGCCACAGAGAAAACGTATAGGACTGCCGCTAGTGCGTGAACAAGCTGGAGGGGCAGAAGGTGAGCAGTGGGAAGGTGCCAGGAGAGGCCTGGGGGAGCAGAGAGGGGAGCTGCAAAGGCAGTAATTGCCACATAATCAGAGCCGCTGCCGTGCTGAGAAAGCCCACCGAATGAGAAATGGTGGGCACGTTTCTGCCCGGTGTCGCAAACGCTCTGATTGGCAAACAGGCCGCATTCCAGAATCCTGATTTATATTCCATTGTCGAGAGTGTTACTTGGGTGTCTTCGATCGGACGGCAGCCTTTATTCAACGGCAGGCATCTTATTTGCGCA